AACATGCACATCAAACTCGTCAGAAGAGAGCATTAATCTCTCCATGAGTAGCATACTTGCTCCGTACCCGACTAGACAGTCTCTCTCCATCTCGCCTAGACGGAGACCGCCATCGCGGGAACGGCCTTCGGTTGGTTGACGAGTGAGCACCGCTCGTGGCCCTCTAGGATTAGCGGTCAGAGATACATTCGAACAATTAGATGTTTAGTATTGTGCTACTGAAACCGTCTGATATACATAAAAGGTAAACAAACACACCTTGCCCGTGCATGCATCTTATCGACCACCATATGTTTCAACTTTTGGTAGTACACAGGTCCAAAGAATATGTATGCCTGTAAGGGTTCACCTGTGATACCTATGATGATCCGTAACACACAAGTTAAGGTTCACGAATGAATGAGAAAACACGTGATTATATTCAATTAAAAATACCTGAAGTAACATAGTCCTTTCCTGAATAACTAAACCCGTTTTCAATTAGAATCCTGCTCATATCCTCGACCTTGCTTCCACTGAACGCAGTCCCATACTGTAGTTCACCCTTTAGAATGCCGGCCTTTGCAGCCAATAGTTCAATCATTTTACCGACAGTCATTCGAGATGGAAATCCATGCGGATTCATGATAATATCTGGACAAATGCCTTGATCGGTAAATGGCATGTCTTCCTGCGGTACTATAATGCCACAGACTCCCTTTTGCCCGTGACGAGAGGAGAACTTGTCTCCTAGCTCAGGGACTCTGGTTTGCCGTATCAGAACTTTTATTAATGTCTGATCGCTATCAGTAGTAGTCAGAATAACCTATTCAATATGTGAATATTAGTTTTTACGTCCTCAGCGGTAATTGCATTACTAGTGTAATCACATATAAATGTATGTAATTACTTTATCAACGTATCCGGGTTCAGGTGATTTGTAGAATAAAGGAGCATTCTTGTAAGTATTTGCCGATATATCCACATTAGACACAAGAGTAGTGAGATTTGTGGGTGTTTGTTTGTTAATATAGACTTGCGACGGTGCTATTCTTTCCCCAACGCCGGCTATTCCGTCCGCTTCTAGTATATCATATTTCCTGTCTTGGTGTGGGTCTGCCAATCTGTCAAACCTAAAGGGAATATATGGTCGAAAATGTAAAACTGCCGAGCGATTGATTCCATTCCACCCCCATATATGACTTACGTTCCATTTGGGTATTTTTTGAGGACGCTGACATATTTTCTCATTACTTGACATCGTCCAAAACCACGATCTATCGAAGCCTACGATTTACAGAATATAGAATCAAGAGTATTATGAATTCCATGTATCGATGTAAGTATAAAATCGAATAACAGTTGGCTATTTACTTACTTTGTTGAGTACCAATGCATCTTCTATATCGTATCCAGAATAACTCATTACTGCCACGATAGCATTTTGTCCAGCTGGCAACTAAAATGCAACAGAGTTAATAAATTTTTTTTTTGCAAACTAAACGTAACGTTTAATTACTCACTTTATCATATCCAATTAATTCTATAGTCTTGGTCTTAACTAGTGGCTGTTGAGGATATACCATAAGATAGAGGAGAGTATCTATTCTCTCAAATTGATTGAATGCTATAGCTCCAATTGCCTGCTTGCCCATTGCACATTGATACCTTTTTATGATCACGAAAAGAATGTCATAATCGTCACAAAAACTCAACAAGAAACGATTAAATAATCACAAGAACAATAACGTACGTGTTTCTCGGACTCTGATTATGATGTGGATATGGAATAAGCCCAGCTACAGCGCCTAAAATTGTAAATGGTTCGATCTCTAAATGCGTAGTCTCGGGTATGATCTCTCTCTCATATATTGCAATGTTCGAGTCATTCTCCTCGTTAACGTCCAAGTATTCCACAAGACCTCGCTTTAAGAAATCAGAAAATCCCAATTTTCCTTGTTTCAGAAGCTAAACAGAAGAAAAAGTTTACTTTTTTTTTTAGTCTGTAATGCAAATTTTCTATACAGCACTTTGTAATATCAACCTACTTGAATGTATTTATTTGTCACCTTTGGTGCCATATTGTCAACAATAATAAGAGGACGACATACGCGACCACCGTCTGAGGCAATATGTACAGCAGCGTGATGATGATTCACATAGATGCTGACGAATTCCGATATACGACCACGACGACGTAATTTACGGAAATCTCGGACAAACTTCATCGGTCGGCGAGTGATTCCAAGCATCAGACCGTTGAGAAATACCATGTAACTATTAGGACGATACAGCTCCGCACCCGTAAATAAACTGACATCTGATGTTGTTTTATACAATAAGTTATCATCCGATTACAAACAAAACAAACAATGCCATCATCCGAATGTATTAATATACCTTCAACACCAAGAATAAAGGCAAGCCGTTTCAGCGGCTCTTCTTCGTCATCAGTCGTAATATGCGTCATCAATGCAAGATTCTTAACCAATCCACACGCTTCACCCTCAGGTGTATCTGCAGGACAGAGCATACCCCATTGCGATGGCTATTATCCCATTCACAATCGACGTTATTTCATCATTCACTGCCAAAACATTGAATTAATGCATAAAACATGGTCTTGTCTTCCGCTCAATTAAATCTACTCTTATTCATTGTTTTCTTTTCTTCTCCCTTACTTTGGTCACTCACCTGAAGAGCTCTAGGTCCACTAATTTTTCTCGTCTTTTCGAAATGAGATGATATTCTTGTCATAGTGCCCAATGCTGAGATATAACTCAAGCGAGATAATACATGGCTAATCCCTGCACGCTCCATTTTGAATCGCTTGAGAGACCAATTACCAGTTGATATTGCTCGAACAAATCCACTGGTTATATGATCACCATGACATTGAAGCTGATTGTAGACGTCAAATTCCTGCGCTCTGTTTGGTTTCTTGAGCACTTTGTCAATATTTGTTTTAAGGTCATGGTTAAATTTCTTGAATAAATCTTCAAAAAGAAGGGACAGTAATGAGCCCGCTCTAAGGGTGGAAGTATAATCAGTATTTTTGTTAATAAAAGTAACTAAAATGATTGAAAAATTGGAAATTTTGACACGGACAATTCGAGTCTTTTGTTGCCAACATAGTCCCTGTCATCCATCAACGATTCGTTAGCCATTGCCATCAAGACTCTTCTAATCATTATCGCAATATAAATGCACTTTGGCCTGAAATCTAAATTCTCCACGGGTACGTGAGCAAGAACAACAGTTGCCAGAATCTCCAATGCTTCTTCGGCCATGGGCCTACGCACTGTAGCAATTTTCCTAGTAACTTTTACTTTACTTCCAATATAATCAAGGGCTTGTTGTTGAGTAAAGATTTTCATCTGTGCACATTCTTCAATGTTGGGCGCAAACATATTCAAGAATGTCTGATTGCCACCCGAGATCAACTGAGCTATTTCCTTGTCCGATTGGACTCCCATTGCCTGTAAGGAATAAAAGTGAGATAGCCTGAATGGTGCATTATATGAGAGAAAGAATTGAGAACAAGAAGAGAAAGTATTCACTTTTCAGGGTATCTACGAAAACTTTTTTGTTAAATTATCGGACATAATAAATAACGTTTTCTTTTGTTTACTTTAAAGCACTACCGTTGTTACGTTTTTTTAAAAAAAGTCTGCTAGAATATCTTGGATATATGTGGAGATATAAAAGTTTAAAAATTCATAACTTGAAGGAGTGAGTCTTTTGAATAAAACAATGTGTACCTTCATGACAATAACTATTGGTATGTCATCTGATATAGAGTTGTGCTTCAAGTAGATTTTGTCGTTTTTAACATCATTCTTTGCAGTAATATACGTCTTACTCTTACGTTCGTGAGTAGAGCTAATGATTCAAGATTATTATTAAAGTATTACAGGCAAAGACATTTACAACAGATAAACTAAATCGTTTGCAATACCTTGTGACGTATGCCTGAACAGCTTTCTTGTCACCTTTCTCAACGATAATACGATTCTTAGAAAGCTGCTCTTGAATCAAAATAACCTTCTCAGTCCCCTTGACAATAAAGTAACCACCTACGAATAACATCGATAACAGCAACGGAATTCATAAATTCATCAGTTTCATTCAATGTTGAATACGGCACAATTCTTTTTTTTATAACATATCCTTCCCAACCTGGATCTAATGGACATTCGCACATCTGCGCGAGCTCCGCATCTGACTTGCCAGTCAACACACAGTGCGAGCTCCTCAACATGATTGGCATTCTACCGATCGACACGTTTTTTCTTTGCACACGTTGATTTCCTCTGACATAATGTATATCAACATAGATCTGTGCCGAATAAGTTAAATCACGTAATCGACATTCGTGTGGGGTGAATATACGATTCTGGTCCAATTGATCGGGGCGTTCTGGCATTCCCACCCGAATGTCTGTGAATCTAAAATGTGAAATAAAATGTGTCTATTAATCTGCAATTATTGAGAGAGCGATAAATGATGAATCACGCACTTGAGCCAAAATCTCGGATCGACATCTGAACTTATTCTTTCATTCGCTCTGACGATCTTTTTCAAGTCAACATTAATGTAGTAATTGAACGAGTCTATGTGTTGCTTGACTAGACCTTTTACTTTTAAAAAGGCGGGTAATAGCTGCCATTTATCCTAAAAGATCTCATTAATTAATGATAAATGGAATAGAGCGCAGTATACGGGTTCCGTTGAATCTACCTCGACGGTCTTTATAGGATCAGATAACCCTTTCCCACCATATCTGGCTTGTTTCAAAGCCTGGAATGCTTCATCCTGATTTGCAGTAAATTGCTTTTCGTAAGTGGGAGGGATTTTGGATTCGGTCATTGGAAATTAAAGCAGATCAAGAATCGTGTGAACTTTTATATTAATATTAATGCAATTTATTGCACGTGAAAGCAGTTGTCCTATATTCGGTTAGACAATATTTTGCGCCGATATGTAAAGCAAATTTTCATGAACCGGGTCTTCCATAAACAATGGGAAGACGCAGGCCAAGCTCGTTAGAAGTGGAGGTGGGAAGACCTTACAAGAAACGAGAGAGGAGTTACAAATACAGAAGTCATCGAAAGAGCAAGAAGCTTAACCACGACGAAAAGCAAACACAAGACAGTAAAGATAAAATAGCAAAAGGCACAGAACACGGTTATCTTTAATTGGCATTCAATATTGTGAATTCCTTCACATAATTTTATTCGTAGGATAACTATATATCACTTTATGATCTAGGCGCAGATATACCCCAGAGAAGAAAAAGCAAACGACTCCAGCAATATAGCAAGCGGCACAACACTAGGAAATACAACACTAGGTCGAGTCAAACTAATGCGGAAAGCAGTATACAGACCAGCGCAGACGCAAACAGAGGTGAGATGGAAATAGATAAGGAGAAGGAGAAAAAGAAGGATGCTGCGGAGAAATCTGAAAAGGGTGATGATAAGGATAAGAGCCGTGGTGAAATTAAGGACTTTAAAGAGATCAAACGAGAAGAAGCGGACGATAAATCTGCTGTGAGCTGTGAGCAGGACGTATGTAGAATCTGAATGTTTCTTCAACAAGTTATGTGAACAATATCCCCTCCATAATTCCTTTCATCCACGACTTATCCTTTTCTTGCATCCTCCCATCTTGTCAGAAATCCCAAGATACGTGGAACAATTGGTACTCAGCAACCTTCAATGGAGATGATAAGAGAAAGGATAAATTCCTTCGTCTAATGGGAGCCAAGAAACAGGCCAAAGATACTACTGTTGAATCTACAACATCAGGGAAAAAAGGACTCTATGGATCTTTAATGACATCAAAGTCGCCTATCGATTCGAATAGCAAGGTAAACGAATACCTTGAGAAACAATTCATGGATGGGGTTAACAGAAGAATGCAAGCCGGAAGGAATTCTGGATTGGGATTTGATTGAGAGAGAATATATACGCGTGCATATGTGAATGAATGAACGGAAAGGTAGGAAGATGTAGGGGGGAAAACGAGGGCAGTGAGCGTTGTGAGAGAGATAAGCATCATTGTTGATAACTGGTTCGAATTAGTAAGAATTATAATTTACATTACAAGAGTGAAAAATATCATTCTATTTATATGGATTGTACTTCTTGCTTTTTACTTCGATATTTCGATCTCTCCAACTGCTCTTGCGCAACTTAATAGGACGGTTTCCAACATACTTGCCTTTATTAATAAATAAAAGGTCAGCGTCAAATTAGAGAGAATCAAGCAAGACATGATCTCAACGTTGAAGAAAACAAAATGCGTTACCATTCATTTCTTTCCATGCTTTTACGAATTCATCGGCGTCTTTGAAACTGACAAAGCCATACCCTTTTGTTTTGCCTGTCCTTTTGTCGCGAATAACTTTTGCTTTCTGAACAGAGGTGTATTTGCTAAATGCCTTGTGTAATACCTCGTCAGTCACTTCATTGCCCAAGTCACCGCAGAACAGTCGGAAATCGTCTATAAGCAAAAGATTTACGAGCAAGAATGAGTTAATATTCCTTTACAAAACGATTGCCAGAAGCGATTTCAAAAGTTGAGATGCATTACTTAAATCCCATTCTAATAGAGTTGGATCTTCCCAAACTTCTCCACCGGCAGCTCTGACTATGGTCTTTTGTTTCTTCTTTGGTGTATTCTGTTTCGTATTCTCTGTTGGGATTGTATATCCTTCCTGGCTTATTGTTGATCCAACGCCAACAATATTATTGGTACTCTTTGCAGAGGACGCACTGTTAGCAGGATTGATTATTGTCGGTGGTGCTTCTACTACAGCCGGCGTTGTGGTAGGAGCAGAGACTGATATGGGGGCTGGATATTGATAGTAGTAGTTTGAGTAGGTGGAATAGTCGTAGTTTTCGTAACCAGGATAGTATCCCCCTGCGGCGGGACCGTACGAAGAATAATCATAGTTGTAATATGATAATTGCGGAGCGTCTGCGGCTGTAGGAGCACCGTTTAGATATGAGTTTGCATCGTATTGTTGAGCTGAGGACGTTTGGTTGGGATTCGACATTCTACCTTCTGAGGAACAAGGAAATAGCGAGTCAGCAATTTTCTGGTTGAGGCACGTGACGTTGAATTTCTTAGAACAATAGTAATAGATACCTAGTTGGCGTAAGTATATAAGGCGCACTAGCAAATTGTACTAATATATTGATTAGCCGGATGTGGTCTCAGATATACTACAAATAAGATACAACCAGCATATGCTCATCAGTAAAGAGTCTGGCAGATAGATTTTAAATTGTAGAGAAGTGAATTATGAAGTTACAATGGATATTGGCAGCATGTCTGTGCCGAGCCCCATAGATAGAATACTAATTAAAGATCGGCGAAATTGGGATTATTGCCCCCGATGCAAACTGATATAAATTAATTCTTAAACCAGATTGAAAGAGATAGAATCGTAGAAGTTATCCTAGACTCTACGTTTAAAACAAACCAACAGAAGTTTGAACTGTTTGTGGTAGGAGACGCCACACTACATTCGAAATTAGCTTCTTAGTGCCGACAATTGTAATTTGACGCTCTCCCACTACATTGTTCGTTGAAAAGAAAAAACAGTCACTAACCTTATAATATATATGTTTTAAAGAATTATTTAGAGACAAAGAGGCAAAAATGGTTACAACGGAAAAAAGTGCTTGTAATTTCGAAATCTGAGAAATATAAAATTTTAGACTGTGAAAGGGCATGACAAAAAAATCGATGATACATGTAATCATGGAGAACAAGTGTTCCAATGAATAAACTTCTGATTCACATGCCATGCTAACCTTTATTCACACGATTATTTAAACTTCCGGTATCTTCATAATGGTTAATGGTTATAAAGGTCATTATCATGTCTTTTCTTGAATTGTGCTAAGTAAATATACAGTGGGTACTCAAAAGTCTCTGATTGCCCCTGCTGATCAATTAGTAAAGCATATAAAAAATCTATTTTTTCGAAAATCTCTATTGGTCGTATTTACTAAGCTAATAACAAAAAATTTTTTGGTACAAAAATGAAGCTAATTGACAGTAGTTTTCAGGAAAAATTTAAGAAAGTTGTTGTAAGGAAGCTGTGGTTCAATAAAGTAGTAGCATATAGACTAAACATATGATTACATATGTGTAAACATATTTAACATTACTATTACTTCATTGAACCACGGCTTCATTGCAACTTTCTTCATTTCTGTACAAAAACATTTATTATTAGCTTAGTAAATATGACCAATATAAATATAGATTTTTCATATGTTTTACTAATTGATCAGCAGGGGTGGTTGGAGACTTTTGAGTACCCACTGTATATAAACTGACAACATTTTACCAAGCTTATTATTGTTTATTATTATGCTTCGGGCAGGCATGTATTTTATTGTTTTTTTTCTCTCTCACAGATTAAAATTTTGATAATCGCAGGATTTTGAAAGAAGCAATAATTAAAGGCTATTATTATTATTATTTTACAGGTTTATTGATTGACAATGATTACTAACTTTTTATCTACAATAAATTAATAAATGGGGCATGCTGCAACAAAACCAGACAAAGTGAACATTTTATAAATGAGAGGCTGATTATGATATGGCTGTAAAATTGACCAGTGTGACTGATGACGTTTTGAAAAGTAATAATGGTGCTCATTCATAACTTATGGACTTGTTATTTTAAATAATCGAGTATTTTTGCCGCTTTCACCGGAATATACCGCTTTTTCCCGTAACAATTCGGATTATTATCACGGTTATTTGATTTTTGATTTATTTCTGGACGACTCTCTCTTAAATAGATCCGAACAGTATTGTTACAGCCGGATTATTCAAGGGTTTGCAGATCACGGTAAAAGCGGCGGATAAATACTCGATTGATTATAACACAAGGTCGAATGTTGAGTACAAGCCCGAACACAGAGTACAAGCTCGAATGCCGAACACAAGGTCGAAACGTGTTCGTCTAAAACATAAAGCACGAACTGCCAATTTTATAAGTACAGTCAAACCGATACCGCTAAAAACCGATACCTCGCAAAACCGATACTTTTTTCAATTCCCGTGCAATTTATATATGATAAATCCCTCGTAAAACCGATATTACATATAAACCTCTCAAGCGTGTCTCACTTAGTGTCTCATATTCATATTATCTTATCAATAAACGAGTATCGCATTTACTCTGAAAGAAACTATTATTATTATTCCCTAATACTTAGACGGTATAGCTTAATCCCTATATCGTTAGAAGTGTTTACCTCTTGTCCCGTTTACACTCCCGTGGCAAATACGATAATTATTCACTACCAACGCGTTATTATTTAAATACATACTCCCGAACGGTTATTATTATCGTTAGTATAATCCCGCTAGGCGATAAGCGAGATTAAAGGTAGATCAAGATCTAGGATTAGCGCCGTAAGACGAATATTGATTCCGAGACGGATTAAAGCCTAATTAGAGGTCACCACCCGTCGTAAACTTTAGCTAAACGAGTAGGAGCTGCCACATCTCCGTAGAAAGGTAGCTAAATCTCAAGTGTCAGTAATTACCCGCTCTCCCGTGATTATCGGCACGACAATAGCTTGAGTGGTATTAGTCCCAAAATTATGCTTAATCGTGGATATGCTTACAAACTTACAAGAATGCAATCAAAACCGCACAATCTATATTACATCAGAAGATAGGTAATACCTACGAGATATTTCATGGGGAATGGCTTAGTTTTGAGGATTTGCAATATGAAAATTTTCTGCAGTACATTCACATGATTAAACTGTCACGTGCCCGGAAATTTGGTGAAATCTCATTATCATTTCCTGATATTAATATTAATATATTAATATAGCATTTATTAATTATCGGCACATGATCGTCAAGATCGCGTTGTAATCTTCGAAGCACCCGCCGAAAGTTGGACATATAGTGCTATTGCGGAGAACTATAGCGTTAGCGACGACATCAGTCGCATTTTCCTCCGCATTAAAAAGGATCTGGAGGAACGTGCGGAGAAAAATGATCCAGATGGCGCGCACGCAGACCGGATTCTGAAGGTTCATTGGCAGGTGCGTAAAGCAATTACTGTGAGTTTAGAGTATCCCTTTGGACGTCGTGGCATCTAGCTTGGTTACTGCGTGTCGCCTTGTGATGGATGCGTTCCGATGCCCTTTTGGCAGCTAAGCGGGTTACTGCGTGTCGCCCGTTATGGTTGCGCACCGCTGCTGAGGCGGCCGAAGGGTACAAGTATTGTCCTGTAAGCAGTGATGGGATAACCGCTAACCACGTTCCAAGCTTTTTCCCCCCTCTTAAACAGAAACTTGTTGCAAACGCGAAGAAATGCTTAAGTATTGACCAGATCAAGGTGAACATAAGAATTTCTGCATCGTAACCTTTCAAGCTAGCACTCATTATTGTTAACTTGCAGCATGAAGCAACCATCGCTGCTTTCACTGATGGAGCAGAATCCATGTCAATAGCCCGTCAGGCAATTCTTACTGATCTCGGTATGGCAGGATTGGACAATAATCCTTTTCTTAAGCATGAGGCTAGTGCCGATGGTCTCGTAAGTTATTTCATCTTAGTAGGGTGTCATTGTCTGTTGACATACTGGTTTGTCAATCTCAGTGGATCATCCTGTTTCTTGTCCGAGTCTATCACTTCTAGCATATCTTGCTTAAATGCTTAAGAGCTTTGAAATTTGATTTCTTTCTAGGAACCTAATTCAACAAACAAAAGACTCTGTACCCCTTCGCCGTTTTTACGATCTTCGTTGCCCAGTGCAGAAATTCTCTTATCTGATAGTGATGATGAACCCAACTCAAAGTTTTCATTGCCATCTGACTGCCCAGTCATTATTAACGATGTAGTGGGGGATCTTTGCCGCAGAAAGAATTCAGATGGGTCGTAATGGACATTGACATTTCTGATAAATGGCACCTATTCAAGGAGACGTCCTTGAAATTGGCCAAGGAGGAAGGTCTTCTTGTGGAAAGCCACATATTAGTATGTGAATGGCAAAATGATCATTATTCACTGTGTTCGATTTATTTAGTAGATTTTATGTAGATCATTTGCAATTCTAGTATTATGCTAAGTCTGATTTATTATTTATATTTTATTGGATATAAAATACTGCAGTAGTTTAGAAATTAGTTATAAAAACGACCTTTCCTCACAGCTGAAATATTAAGCCGTTTGGCTCGAAAGCCGCTTGGCTCAAACGTTTTGGTTTTCAATTAAATGAGTTTCTAACTCTTGTTCTTAAATAAAATCTAATTACCGATAAAACGAAATCCAACTGTCCCTAATTGTAAATAAACATGATTTACCCTGCATAACGTCCCTGAAAATCGACGATCGACATCGATATATGGATT